AAAAGGTCTAGTATTGGATATGACTAAAATGATTAAGCAATTGTCGAGGACAATCTGAGGTTAACCAAAGATTGGTTGCTCATGGACAATTGGAAGTATATAGTTAGGAGCATATTGACATATTCTGAAAAGAGGCAACTCTTGTTCAGAAGTGATGGTCAAAATGGAAATATGGAATTGTTTCCATAGGTGGAAGTTATTCTTTGAATCTGTGTAAAAGGTTAGAAAACTTAATGCAAAGAAGGATGTTCAAAGGAATGTACTTTGAATGTGAGACTTCGTTTCCATGGAATTGCTCTCCATTGGAATACTCTGTAATGTCTGGTGACAAGTGTTTGTGACTTTGTGCATAATCATTACAGAGGATCAGTGCATATAAGTTTAAAATCTAACAGATTTCGGTAAATGGCAGGAATTTGGAATTCTTACATTTTTCGATAAGGATTTGGGAGTGTGAAATGAGAATCATTGGAATTATGTTCAATCGATCTATTTCACAAAGTAAGGATCGTAAACAAACATAGTGTGCATACTTTGTGTATGGCATAACTGGTGTTTAGAAAAACATAGTGTACATGCTTGGAGCATGGGACAACTAGTGTTTTTAAATTCAAGTATAAAGTTGATAAAATTCGAAACATTATACAATGAATAATGAGTAATCAATATGGTGCTTAGATAAAAGGTGTTTTTATTTACACTCAAAGAGTTTTTGAGGCCATATAGGATTAGTATTATTCTTGTGTTTCACTTTGCATGTTTTGACTTCCAGAATAACTAGGTCATTCTTTTGAATGACTAAGTTATTCAAACCATCCACAGTCAGTCATATGTTGGAAGTAGATATGAATCAAGACTGTCATGAAGCTGGTTTGTAGATGTCCAAGGTAGTGGACATAGCAAGAGTTGCTGCAACATTCATGTGTGCTCCTAAGTTCTGAGTATTGGATTAAACTCACGCTCATTTGAATCACTTCATGGATTTTATCACGAGTGAATCATGAGACGATAATATCTTATATTCTTCAAACCTAGAGATATGAGTTGTTGACTATGAGTTGGTTATACATTGATTGCACGAAAACGCATTGGTAACTCGATGTTATAAAACGTGCCTTTGTGTATGATTCAACAAGTAGTTAGTACAAGCATATGAGTCAAATTTTATCCATTCCTTTTACCCTTAAAGGGATAAAAGCGATATGTGTGGGCCCCTCGATGATTTAGTGATGACACATGTGAGTGCTTGGCCAAGCCAGGACTGATTTGATCTGTTCAATCAGTCAGTCGTCATAAATCGGAAATCGGGAAACAACAAATGGACGGAGAGAATGATTATAATCCATGTCTCAGTCCATGTGATATCTATAATGGAGGAATATATGATCACTTATGTAATGGACTCGTCATTGATTTGTTCAGAGTTCGACAACGGCTTTTAAGAGCTACGATTGCTAGTCGGGTTATAAAGTCGTACTTGCAATAATAGTTATTAGACTTATCCAAGTGGGAGACTGTTGGATTAGTGTCTAAGTCCATAACTATAATTGGTATATAATTGACCCGACCCAGCATGGTCCATTTGGGTTGCATGACATCGGGACATTTGGATAGAGCTTTTGTGATAATAGGATATTTGTGACATATTAATATATTATAAGTTCTAATATATTAATATGAAATCATATTATTTAATTAGTATTGATCAGTAATTAATTTGGAATTAATTTAGTGATCAAAAGAGACTAATTAATATATGGGGGATTGATTGTGTAAAATCATTGATTCTTATATTGTGGGCTTATGATCCATGATTCCTTATGTTGGATAAACCCATGGAGTGATCCATGGATGCTCCATGGAGGTTAAAACCATGGAGCATAAGGAATGGGTAAAGTCATGGGTTACATGGTGTAACCCTAATGTGCACACTATATAAAGACCCCATTGGTTTGTGAAATGGGACTAGTGCATACACAAGAAGGGCAAGCCATTTCTATGAGTCAAGTATCCTCTCTCATGGTTATTCCAAGATGTTCATGTGTGTGTGAACCATTTGAGGTGTCACACTTGGGGCACTAGGCTCTTAAGCTCCATGGAATCAAGCTACAACAAAGAGGTATGTATTCTATCTAGTTTTGTCATTCTAGTACATATGATTGTATGCTAGTTAGGGTAATACCTTGGAAAGTTGATATTTGCATGTATAATAGAGAAAACATAGATCCAAGGTATTTAGGGTTGTATGTACACCTTAGGAGTGTTAGATTGCTCGAAACCCAACAGTACGGTCGTACACTCCCTTTGATAGAGTGTTCGACTCGATTTCAATGCGAAGAACTTTAGCTGACACCTCCCTGAGCCCATAACATGATTGTACTGAGCGTAGAACCCTTAAACAGACTCTAAATAATGATAAAAGATAGCAGAAACGGGTCTGACACTCGGTTGAATTGAATGGCTAGACTTACAAGGCAAAAAATTTCGGATTGTCACATCTATTTTCCTCCCCCCATCCTAATCTTCCAAATCCATCAACTCCTCCTGTAATTTGCCTATATAATCATCGGTTGTAGGTCGAGAGAAACGCCAGCATTACATTACCGAATATGATGCTCTAGTTAGGTAGTTTACCTCTTCGTTATTTAGGAAGTTATGCACGATTGATTTCAATAACCAAAGTTCCTTATGTAAATTTACTTCACATGCAATGTTAACTTTTATGTGCTTCATTGTCTTTGTTTGTCTCCAGGATGTTTTGAGTTCCATGACACTAAAGATATGGATACATGTATAAGTTCTTATTACTTTCGAACATTATCATTATGACAAAAACCTTTAATCCAACAAAGTTTGACCAAAAGTCAAATCGGTCAAAAAAAGTCAACGGTCAATTCCACTATGCACCGCGTGCCAATACCTGGACGCAACGTGTACACTATCCGGAAAAATAGCCAGGACCACTTTTTAAGATTCGCATCGCGACCGATCCTTGGTCACGTCGTGTTTCTGGGCAGCGATATTTCTTCTTATTGAGTCCTTAATCCATGAAGATAAACGTATTATACTTTCCATAAACCATTAATGAAGCTTTTAATGGTTAAGTTTCCAACTTTATCCAAATCTATGCCTATCACAAGTCTAATACCAACCCTAAATCTTAAAATGATTCAAAAGTGCTAACAACTTCATGAATGGATCAAATGGGTAGTTAAACATGCACTTAATACACCACAATGAGTCCATATTATCAAACAAAATCATCTTTGGACTTGGAGTTGTCCAGATTTCATATAAATCATGACAAAAATGGACAAACTATGCTCAAAATCCTAGATCTAGCATCCAAAACCAAAAATGTAGGAGCTTGATGACTTATAAGCACAAGGAAGTGTCTATAAGATAGGAAATCTCTGGATCTTTGATTTGCTTGGTATAAAAATGGTTTACTTCCTCTTCAAGCTTCACACAAAGGCACCAAAACACCAACAATGGAGGCAAGGTGCAACGTCCCGATTTTTTTAAAGGCAAAATTTTCATTTTTATATATTAAAATATATCAGAGTTTAGTTACATTATACAGAGACATATTGTGAATGCGCGTGTGTACAGTCAAACCTTGCCATTCTCTCGAACCATTGAAGTGTCTGAAAAAATTTGCAACAACTGGTTAAGCGTTAGGTTTAGTGAGTTCCCTAATATACCATATACCACAACACATATACATGCATACAAATGGGCACCGCCCAAACTACTTAATGAGCCACACCTAAGATATATAACGGGCCCCGCCCGACATACATAACCATACATAAAGACTATATCTTAAGTTCCATTAATACAAGGCACATAAAAGCTTTACTATCGACTCTACTCTACTAACTCCTATGTCCTAACATACATGGATATATATATATATATATATATATTATATATATATATTGTAACACATGATATAGTGAGATAACTCACCTGGACAGTTTCTCAGAAGATTAACAACTTTTTGGACGATCCATCTAGCGGTTAACGTGCCCAACGAGTATTAACATATAATGTTTTAACTTACAAATCCCTGTGATAATCTGGTAATGGAAACTATATATTTCACTAATCCCAATGAATACCAAGAGTTCTATCAAATAAGGATCAGCCAGGGCGGACAGTGGGGAAGCAGGACCATTTTGACATATAGCTTTTCTAAAATCCAACAACCAAGACAACGTGACCATTCTAGACACCTCTTCCGTATGCAGGGATTTATAAGTGTAACTTCTATCAAATAACGAGTATGCCTATAAATATAAGTTACACTTGAATCAGGATAAGTGCAACTTAACTTATAGAGCTTTCTAACGAGAACATGTAATTGTACGGGCAAAAATCTGACCCAGAAACTTCTGTTCTCCCGGTTCTCTGATGTTGAAGGGCCTCGCTAAAGTAGTCGGGAACTAGGGAGTATTAGTGTATATTGTAGATATACCTTTACCTTTGTATTTGGCATTTGGCCTTGTAGGGTTCGGCCCATTCTATTGTACTGTATCCTATATATATTGTTCAATATATTCCATATCGTTTCAAGGGAAATACTCGACTAATATGGTATCACATCCAATAGTCAATATCTAAGCTTTTTCTTCTTGATTCTTTCCTTCTCGATCCTATCTTCTTCCTTCCTTTTCTTTTCTTTTCTCACCTATGGCCGACCCTACCTTCCCTCCATGGCTGGAGACGAAGTCAATACGGATGCTAATGATAAACCTTTCGGTATCACAAACATCTAGACTTATGTTCCCATCACCCTCGACCTTGAAGAACTCGATTATGACACCTGGTGTGAGCTATTTACTGCCTGTTGCATCAGTTTTGGTGTCAAACACCACATCTCCAAACCTGCACCACAAGCTACAACCTCCAAATGGGAGCAAATTGACAATCTTGTCAAGCTTTGGATTTTCGGCACTATTCACAAATCCTTACTCTAAATGGTTTTGAAACCCGGAATGACAACATATGATTTGTGGAAAGGTCTTGAAAATCTCTTCCGAGACAACAAAGACTCTCGTGCAATGCAACTCGACCAAGACCTCCGGTCAATCGAGATCGGAGACATGTCCATTCACTACTACTGCCACAAAATCAAAGTATTGTCCGCCCTTCTTGCCAATATTGATCAGCCTATGCCCGAGAAGAATCTAGTCATTTACATGATTAATGGCTTTGGAGATAAGTTTGACAATCTCTCAAGCATCATTCTCCATCAACGACCCATTCTGTCTTTCCTACAAGCTCGTTCCATGCTGATGGTTGAAGAAACACGCCTCCAGCGTCCCCGTTCATCTACAACAGCTCATCGTGTTCATAACTCTTCTCCGGCTACTCTTCTTGCCGGAATTGATGCTCAACATCTGTCACATCAGCCTCGCCCTGGAGACCGAGACCGGCGGCAAAACGACGGTGGTGACCGGCGACAACACTTCGAACGCCGACAACAAAATATGCGTGGCAGCGACAGGTGACAGCAAGATCGTCGCTCCAACTCAGGTGGGAATTCTGCGTGGGGCTCCTGGAACGCGTATTATCCCCCCTCCTTGGGCTGCCCTAAATTGGCAGCAGATGTGGGCCTTGACCCTTGGGTCAACAAGCATATCGACAACCCTATCCACCATGGGCCGCTGGCTCTTCTTCTGGACCAAGTCTTCAACAACAACAGCAGGCCTAACAACCTGTTAGTGATTTTTATATCACTAGTGTTATTTAAGTGTAATGGGGTTAATTTGTTGATCAATGTCACTTTGACAATTATTGAACAAATCGGTATGGTGAGGAGTGCACATTTGTTTAATATTGTCTTTGTTGAAAGTACACTGTTATTTAGGGGCGAAGCCCCTGAACCGACGGGAGTCCGGGGGCAGCGCCCCTGGGAGCGGGGTCCAAGGGGCAGAGCCCGTGGCTGGGGTCGAGAGCGGAAATTTTTTATATATGTTATGTTACTATATTAAAAAATGCTTCAAAAATCTGGATTTTTGGTAAATGTACCTGGTTTTGTGATCCATATTCTAGACCCGAATTTAAGTTAGTTTATGACGTTTTGACAATTTTAGGACATAAAACTGTCATGTGGCAGTTTTAAGACTGGAAGTTTTTCTGGTTATATGATCATATCTGAAATTTGTTGTTGGTACACTTCTTCTTCATAATATCTTGAACATTATCTCTTCTTTTTTTTTCTCAATTATGAGTCTTATCCGATTAAAGATTGGGAGTACCATCCTGTTGGGTTTTGAGCATTCTAACACTCCTAAGGTGTTCATGCAACCCTAGAAACCTTGGATCTATGTTTGACTAAAATACATGCAAAATAATTTTCCAAGGTTCATAACCTATCTAGCATGGCATGGGGTACTTTTAAACATAAAAGATACTAGAAGAATTACATTACCTTTTAGTAGTGAGTTGATTCTTAGGAGTGTTTGAGAGTCTAGCACCAAAGTGTGAATGCCTCAAATGGAAACAAAAACACCACAAAATTGGAAAACTTTATGACAGAGTATATTAGCTTCTAGAAAATTGGCCACTTTTAGCACACACACATAGTGTCATTTCAAGCACCACAAACCTCTTTATATAGTGTAGATGATTAGGGTTATGAACCATGTAAACCCTAATAACCCATGTCTTTTCCTTTTCCAATGATCCATGGGTTAAATGCTCCATGGATCATCCATGGACTCCCATGCAAGCTTAGCCCATTTCCTAATGAGTATTAGCCCACACTATATAAATATAATAGCTCATATTTAATTAGTCACCTTTTGATCACTAAATTAATTCATAATTAATTTAAGATCAATACTAATTAAATAATTTGATTTCATATTAATATATTATAACTTATAATATATTAATAAGTCATAAACATACTATTCTCATATATTATCCATATAAATAGTTTCGGGTGAAGTGCAACCCAAATGGACCATGTGGGTCGGTCCAGTATATTTACCAAATAAGTTATGGACTTAGACACCTTATCCAACACTTCCAAATACTTTAATCTGAAAGTGAAAACCACAATTCTCAGAATTTCCAAGCCTTTTCTATACCCCAAATCTTACACAACCTACTGCCTTTCTACCTGGCCCGCAAATAACTTTCCAGATCAGCCTACCATCCTCCCACAAGCTTTTCAGGCAATGAATTTACAAGATCCGTCCAACTCATAGTGGTTTATGGATACCGGCGCTACCAACCAACTCTCTTCGAATACAGGTAACTTACGTACTATCATTAATTCGCGTCTTTTTTCATCAATTCTTGTTGGTGACGGGTCTCCAATACCCGTCACCAACATAGGTCATGGCATTTTATCTACACTTTCTCGCACCCTACACCTAAATCATGTCCTTGTCACACCAAATATTATTAAAAACCTTATTTATGTACGAAAGTTTACTCGCGATAATAATTGTTCTATTGAGTTCGACAAAAATGGTGAATCTACGAAGGATCCTTTGACCAACCAAATCCTCATCCGTTGTGATAGCACTGGCGAGCTCTACCCTTTCCATCACCTCAAGAATTTTCCTCAAGTTTTTTTGTCACCAAGTCCGTATACGTGGCACCAAAGGCTTGGGCACCCCGACAATGAAGTGCTTCGTTTTATGATTTTTAGCCGTTTAATTTCTTGTAATAAGACTATGTCTCATTCTCTTTGCAATGCTTGTCAATCAGGAAAACACGTTTGTCTTCCCTTTTTTAGCTCTAATAAAATTGTTGGTGCTCCTTTCGATATTATCCACTATGATATTTGGACATCTCCCATTGTTAGTCTTAGTGGTCTAAAATATTACATCATTTTTCTTGACCATTTTTCTCATTATGTTTGGGTTTATCCTTTGAGACAGAAAAGTGATGCTATTTCCAAATTCTTACGCTTTCATGCTCATGTCCAAACTCAATTCAACACTGAAATTAGAGCTTTTCAATGTGATCACGGGGGGGGGGGGGATTTGACAACAATACCATTCAAAATCTCTTCGACCAAAACGGTATACAATTCTGTTTCTCGTGTCCAAAAACGTCCCAACAAAACGGTAAATTGGAGCGCATACTCTGCACTATTAACAATCTCATCCGCTCCTTAATGTTTCAAGCTCACCTTCCACCCATATTTTGGGTTAAGGCGCTTCATATGGCATCTCATCTTCTCAATCGAATCCCCTCAGAATCCATCAACAACTCAACACCCTACTTCAAAATATATAACAAACAACCCTCATTTGCTCACCTTCGTGTTTTCGACTGCCTATGCTACCCCCACCTTCATGCTTCTCACAAGCTTGCTCCTCGATCCTTGCCTTGCATTTTCCTTGGCTCTCCCGAAAATCACCGAGGATTTTGTGACAACCCGTAATTCCAAATCTTGTAAAAGTCAATATTGGAAGCAATGGTGGGCCCTTGGGCTACCAAGAGGAAAGAAATCAAGGTTGAACAAGTTTCAATCCATATGATTTTTGAGTTTGTCACTAACCTTGTCTTGTGATTAAGGTTTTGACAAATTCACATGGATAGGAACACATACACCATAAAATCTAAGTGTCATAAGGTTAATTTTCGATTCATGAAAATGATGGTGAGGAAACGCTTTCACTAAGTAGATTTTAAGTAGATAGCAATTGTGATATTTGCATTCTCAAAAGTCGTTAGTGGAGCGTGTGTGGTTAACCGACACACTAACATAGACTTGTGAGAAATGGCAAACAGATCTAAACATTATGATTACGGCATCCCTCTTCATAATTGTTTAGACACACTGTGAGCTATCTAAGAAAGATGTATGACTCTGAGAAGCTTAGATAAGTTGGGTCGAAGCATCTCGATCAGAAGTCTGAACTTTGGTGATGATAGTCAATAAAGTATTGATTTCTAGAAGTCGATTTTTTGAGTACATGTCAGAGCTAGTGGAGCATATTGTTGTGCTAAATAATTATATGCTAGTGGGAGCATAATCAATATGAATGAGTTATTGTTAATTATAGAAAACAAGAATTTCACTTGGAAAAGTTGTTTTGCTATAATTAAGGGAGAGGAGATTATACTTCATT